AAACATAGTCTCACCAATGTAAGTGCTCTGGTTTAAAAACAAACTAAACTTGGCCACACCAATGTTTACACTCTTCTTTCATTGTTACATACTAAATACAGTCACACCAATGTTACTAAACATAGTCTCACCAATGTAAGTGCTCTGGTTTAAAAACAAACTAAACTTGGCCACACCAATGTTTACACTCTTCTTTCATTTTTACATACTAAATACAGTCACACCAATGTTACTAAACATAGTCTCACCAATGTAAGTGCTCTGGTTTAAAAACAAACTAAACTTGGCCACACCAATGTTTACACTCTTCTTTCATTGTTACATACTAAATTCAGTCACACCAATGTTACTAAGCATAGTCACACCAATGTTACTCTGAATAGTCACACCAATGTTTACATTCAGATTTCATTTCACAATTACATGTCCAATTATATATGAAGTTTAAAACCTCTTATGAAAACCCCCAAAACTGAATGTCTTTGGTAAAGCTGCAACATACAAAAGTATGGTTTTCCAAGAATAGCAAGCAAGTATGCTCTTGATTGGACAACTATTAACCATGTGGTTTGTCACATTGTAATTTCAGTCCTAACCCTACATGATTATATAATACGTGTGTACTTGATAGGACAACAATTTTCACTGTGGTATACCGAGTTTTGCTTTCTGACCTAGCCCTAAATTATTATATAGCAAGTATGTCATTGATTTGATCACAATTTATATGTGGTATATCGTGTTTTGCTTTCTCTCCTAGGCCTATATGATAAATATATCCTTAATATGAACATACTTTACATTGTGATATACGGTGTTTTTGCTTTCTGTCCTACTAGGCCTACGTGAGACGAGTGTTCCAGGCAGTTGCGGATGACAATATGGAGGACCTAAAGAAACTGCTCTCCTGTAAGAAATACCACAATGTCCGCGACAAGTGCGGCCGGACGCTCCTACACAAGGCAGTGATGAAGAAGAGGAAAACCATGACTAAATTCCTCATTGAAGAATACCCTCAAAATCTCAACGTTGGCGACACTGTAAGGAAAGAAGTGTAATGTTTAGCTGACGAAGTTTGGGGTATAAATGTAGACGAGCCGCTGCTGGATAATATTGCTAGTTGACAGTAAATAATATGCTGTAAAGAGAGATATGAAACACAGAAATAGCGTCGTTTATAGACAATCATGACGACGGTAATAGCCCAAAGGGTAGGACATAAACAGGGATGATACGTAATGCATATCTTAGTATCTTAGTATATGTTATTATAATCTGTAGGGAAGCATGATCAATTGGTAAATAGGAAAAATCTAGAGGCACTATTTTAATACAGGAAATATTAATTATAACATAGTGGGTAATAATATTTAGTAAAATAATATTCTGTGGGGTGATAAAGAGATGAGTTTAATAATTAGTATTGCAAAGGTAGATTTAGGAATTAAGATTTTTAGAACGGGTTACATGAAGAGTATTATATGGATGCAAGTAACAAGTAGCAAGAATACATACACAGGCATTATTTCCATTTTAAGAAAGCACGTTACGCACAACGAGTTTTACAACGACTCCGTTAGTGTCTGACTTTAGTCTTCGCGATGGTATTGTCGCCAGGACAAGTCGTGGCCCTTTTCATGGTATGGAGATATGTAATGTAACCCTCTTTTTACAGATGGACCGCACACCCCTTCACTACGCCCATCTGTTCGCAGATGATGACGACACTGTCACGATGATGGTCAACAACGGCGCCACCGTCGACTACTGTGATGCTGTAAGTTATCAACGCAATGCCACTAAAACATATTATCACCAAAGGGGACAACTGGACCTTTTTTCTTTTTTTTTTTCTGTATAAAAAATTTAACAGTTCAGATTTGTTCGATCGAAACTATACAGTATACTTGATAATGTAAAGAAGAAATTATTACGTGTGGAAATGTTCACGTTGTGTCACTTTAAACTGCTCGCGATGCGGAAGTTTTCGCGTTTCGATTTGTTCCAAAATTCATATTCTATTTGTCTATATACCATACAATCTATAAAGAATTATTCGCATGTGGGTATTTTCGTGCTGCTTTCCTCAACACGAAAAATTCAATCATTTCCATAACGCCAAAATTTGAATTTTGCAGTTTCTATATCCAAGTGTCTACTGTTTGTAATTGTTATTTGAATTTTAAATGTGTTATTGATAACCTATAGATGGGGATGCGACCGGCAGACATGACCGTAGCCAAGTGTGGTAGTCAGAAACTGGGTCAGATACAGAAGGACGTAACAGACCTGGACTTCAACATCTACCTGTCAGAAAAAGACTTCTTGGCATCCTTCTCCTCAGCTATTCAGGCACGTATAAAGTAATACCTAATACCTAATTACATCATCCACCATCCTTGCTAGTATACCGTAAAATACCTAATTACATGATCCACCATCCAGGCAAGTATACCAAAAAATACCTAATTACATCATCCACCATCCAGGCAAGTATACCGTAAAATACCTAATTACATCATCCACCATCCAGGCTAGTATACCGTAAATTACTTAATTACATCATCCAACAGCCAGGCAAGTATACCGTAAATACCTAATTACATCATCCACCATCCAGGCTAGTATACCGTAAATTACTTAATTACATCATCAAACAGCCAGGCAAGTATACCGTAAAATACGAAATTACATCATCAAACAGCCAGGCTATTATACCGTAAAATACTTAATTACATCATCCAACAGCCAGGCAAGTATACCGTAATATACTTAATTACATCATCAAACAGCCAGGCAAGTATACCGTAAAATACGAAATTACATCATCAAACAGCCAGGCTAGTATACCGTAAAATACTTAATTACATCATCCAACAGCCAGGCAAGTATACCGTAAAATACCTAATTACATCATTTAATGCCAAGGCAAGTATACCGTAAATACCTAATTACCTCATCCACTGTCCAGGCAAATATACCGTAAAATGCCTAATTATATCATCCACTAAAAATAAATATACTAATTACATTTATTAATCATTCTTCATATGATAAATGCATCACTGTTTCCTTACTTTGGTCATCTTACTTAAAGATATGGAAAAAAGAGCAGCTATAATTTCATATTCCAACGTGTGTTCTTTATTGGCAGTTTTAATCGATTCTTGCAAAAACTATTGTTAATCATGATTAAAAAAAAAAACTATCTACCGAAATCGTTTTCTGCATCGTAAGGACACAGATTGGGTGTTATGCCCAAGTGAAGAATGTATGAAATATGAACTTTTGTTGATGTCATGTTCCTTAACCAACAGAAAGGCGAACTTGAGACAATCAAAAGCCTGGTGTCTGGTCTTCGGGCGTTCGGAGACATGTCACAGTTCAGCAAGTCTCTATTTGAGTGTATTGACCAGAACCAGACAGAAATTGCCAAGTTCCTCATCATGGCAGGCTTCAAAACCGATATCTATAAGCAGGTAAAAGAGACTTGTAAACAAAACAGACATCTCTAAAAATGAAAATGAAATCGAAATGTCTAATAAGGTAAAGGAACATTGTTAACAAAACTGACATCTATAAGCAGGTAACGGAACCTTAAAAAAAATGAAAACCGACGCCTATAATATGGTAAAGTAACATTGTATGTAAAACTGACATTTATAAGCAGGTAAAGGAGCGAGAAAGAACACGACACGTTAGGTACCTTTCTGAAAAAAGAATTGGAAAGTTTATTGACCAGATACATCTCTAGTTACAGGGGGAATAACTCTTATCATATGATAGACTATGAAAACCAGGAAAGAATTTCTAATCGAATGTTGTATATCATTAAATCAGTATTTGTTTAATATATCAATACTGTACATAATTGAATGATTTGTGACAATTATTCATAAAGATAATAACATAATTTTGTCATACTTTTACTCAACAGTTATTGTAGCTCTCATATCGTATTATCTTCTATCGAAATTAAGAGGGCACTATAGCTGTTTATTATTACTATAGCTGTAACGGTAAACAACTAATAAACACTGTTAATTTCAGTACACTTCATGTGATCCTAACGACCCGATGTGTGCTATGATGGAATGTGGCCACAGTATGACGTCACTGAAAGAAAGAGCCACAGAGAAGAAGTGTGACGATATAGTTAGTCTTATCGACGGCATTTCAAACGGAAAGGTAAATAAGTGCTTTGATTGAAGAGTCTTTTCAAATATCATAGTTTCACTTATTGATAGAAGTGATATTGTCTTTTTTAACTTGCTATCATGACCTTACTTTTGTTAATGATTTCTGTTCACTCTGCATTATAATGAGGTTTTCTACTCATTCATAGTAATTATCTTATGATCAAATATAGTTTTAGGTAGGTATTTTATTTGAATTAATTACGTTATTCATTTATCGTCGATTTTAACATTTTAAATGTGCGTATTACGAGTCAGTTTTACTGCCAAATAACCACAACCAGTTTTGATTTCTTTTTCACTTGGATATTTATTTAGTCATAAAGAGTTATTCATTGGACTTGTATGATTTTCCGATACTGAATGTATCAGGACAATGTCATCATAATCATATCGTGTTTATCGCTTATATAACTATAGATCCATCTGCGAGTGTAAGACATTTTTCTCTATGATCACAGTAGTAAATAGTATCTCACAGTACTGGCACATACATTTTCCTAAATGTCAGTGTCTAAGACAGCTGTAGTCAGTAATATCACAGTCACTTACATTGTATATACATGTGTGTTTATAATCACAGTATTATATGTTCTCTCACCGTGTTGTCCTGTACATGATAGAATTGAGTTGCATATTTGAAATTCTTGCATGTTTCTTTTGACAATTCTAAAATCGGTATCCTACTACAGCATTAGACTTCACAATTCAAGTATGACTTGACACAAAAAAAAATTAAAAAAAATGATAACAGTTGCGGATGCAGGGCGTTGCTCTAGTGGCCCGGGCAACACCCTTTTTTTCCTGTGTCCAAAATTAATCTGACCCAAACATACATCTACTTGAACAATTTCTACCAATCCATATGCAACTTTATTATTAAAAAGTTGAACCATGGTTTTCTATGCCCCCCTCAATTTCAATAGCTGTAGGCCTGAGTGTGTTGCCCAAACACCGCTGATTTCACTTCCCGAAACGTTTGGGGAATTAACCTTCTATTGTCAATGTTAGAAAGTGTCCTGTCAGGTCAATTATCACATGGTCTTTGTCATAATAATACAATCAAACATACAAAAAATTAAAACAAGCAAGACAAAATCACCTCGCTAACCTTGGTAAAAATAACCTTGACCCATTTCTACAAAGACTAGCTAAACTATACTGACTTTGAGTTTATACATTCATATAGTTGCATGCAATATGTAGATATTTACCATTCCACCTCATTCAAAGGACTATGACTGCCAACTGGTTATTTCAATAAAGAAAATTATGAAAACGATCTGAAGGCAATACAATGCTGAAGTACGCCCGACCGACATGATTGGAAAAAAATCACAAATGATCTTTATCAACCTTGAACCCCTCCACATATATTGTGATGCGTGTTATTTGTGAATTGATAATAACAAGAAACATAACTAAAGGAAGTTTTAGTTTAAATAAGATTGAATGGCATAAAATGATATATACAACAAAAATCATTATATAGCTTACGTGACATGTATTTTTCGTCGAATACTTGATTTAGTGACATTTCATAGTGAGTTGTTATGTTGTGCCGGTCAGTTCCTATTGTTGGAGATATACTTATCACTAAAAAAAAGTAAAGACATAACGATTTTTCTATAGTATGCCCAAACTGAAGAGCAGCACACCATACATAATCATTAATAGAACGTTCTTGCCTTAAGCACACGAAAATCATGCATTTAAATTCATGTATCAGTTCTTTTCATTTAGGTTATAAATCAATTTTTAAATAAATCGTCCATTCTAAGTAAAAATGATATTAAATTTCCATTTTCCGTTTGTAATTGTCGGTAACTATCAATGAACAAACATATTGCATGACAATGTGGAGGTTACATCATCGATTGCATGTAATTTGTTTATGTCTTCAAATTCAGTACAAGGGCACTGGCGATTCTTAAACAAATAACAAAACATGAAGACTGTTTCATAATAATGTTTCAGATATTCGTATGGCATAGAATGTAACTTATTCAAGTCAATATTATAAATTATATAGATTCATATATCATTACATACCCACTTACTGTTAACATCGACGTTTTATAGCAAAACACAGCTACAAACCACACATAAGTGTTCTCATGTGATAACTTAATTTGTAATAATCAATACTTAAAACCAAGCAGGGTGTAAAAAAATGTTTTTATATAACATTTGAGTTGGAATCGCAATTAAATAGTTTAAGGTATATTAAATAAAGGTCAGTGTTATATAAAGGGCGTTACATATCTCCATATACAGGGTATACACTTTACGTGTTGCTATGGAAATTTAAACGAAACAAAAAAACCACGGCGTTGTTAATCATATCTGATCTTTTACATTTACTGCAGTTTGACAACATTTTAATTCAAATGCCTTTTACGAAATAAGATTGAATGTTGCTTTACAATTAAGGATTGAATAGAAATATCCAAATTTGTTATCTGCTTTGAATAATTGACTTTTTAGCGGGAAATGCCCCAATTTCCATATTTTAGATATTATCCTCATATGTTAATCAACGAAATGCATGAAATATATTTTTTCCAGTTTTCAAATGTTGCGTTTAAGGAAATATCGATGGATGTCCGCCATCTGTACATTGCAGAAGTAACCCAGTTCATATAATACCATATTCCTCATATGAGAAATATGATTCGAGTAAGAAACAGTTTAGCTATACAAAGATCTTACCGACGCGTCACAGTACCATCCTACCGATGCGTATCGATGCGTGGCAAATACCTATCTATCATGGTAGAAAATAATTGACAAGGGGCAATTTATTGGAACATCCGTGTAGTACCTGCAGTTATTTCTAGACGTTTTTTTACAATTGTTGTACTTGTCCATATAATACTTTACGGTCAATCAATGTCTTTCCCTAACAGTCCATGATGGTTTTAATCGATTTTATTCTTTGATAAAATTCCACGGTTACAATATTCTACCGAATAATTTCAGTATTTCGCAAAACCAACTGTTAATTTTCCTAATTGTATGAATTGATTCTTAATGTGTAGTACACTGATAACTCTATCATACACAATTTATACCTTAGTGCGTCATTAGGACAAAATCATGTTCAGCTTTTTTGTGATAGCAGAGTGGTCAATATGGTAGATAAATCAGTTTATCAGATAACACAGAAGTCATTCAAGCATATCCAAACCTTTTATACAAAAAAGGTTAAGCTGTGATTTTATTGTCATATATCACCCTTTTTTAAACTAGAAGAAAATTTCAACATGCGAACATTCACAAGGAAAAGACATTATATGTATATTCGATATATTTGTGTTTTCTTATAAAAGACAGGACTGATTCATATTGATGTGCTATCTTTAAATATAATGTCAATTTCCTTGAATATTTTCGGTAGATGTTGAAAAAATACTATAACATTTTAATAATTAAGAATGATTCAATGTTTTGATACTATATTTGTCTAGGTAAAATTAACCAGAGTGGAACCTCAAAATGGATTAGGAGAATATGGGATATGATGCATCACAGACACAAGAGAGGACATGACATATCGCACTGTTCACAACTGACAGGGAGATTATATGGACTGCATCTCTATGGAAAAGTTCTGAACTTTTATAGTTTGTTAAACATCAATCCAATATACACATTTCGTGCATAAATGAATCTCCAACAAGTGTAGCTACAGTAACGCTTACAAAGTACGTGGTTAAAAGATGGCCGGCCACTTCTCTGGAAGGTTGCCATGGTATTCCGAATGTAGACTGTTCTTAGCTGATGCTCAGTCACTATGATATAATATATTGTTACTATGTTTTGCGACTTGTGTGAATAGTTGCATAGTTCATATATTGTTTTATTTGCTTGTACAGAGAAGGAAAGTTATATTTTATGTGTTTAAGAAGCTTGCGCCACAAATATATACAGTTTATATACTTTTCTTATCATATTATTTCCATGGAACATTAGTTAGACGCTCTGATACCTCCACGAAAAAACGAAAACAAGTTTTTCTTGTTTGTTGCTATCTGATATTGAATTAATGTCATATTTGACATATTTGATAAGAGTTCCTTGAAATTCAAAGTATAAAAGCATAAGCTTTTGGATAAATAACTTTACGCAATTTTATGCGATATTATTTCTACAATGTGAAGATATGTTGGGAATAGTAAGTAGATTAAAGCAAGTTTAAATTTATGGAAGCAATATAAGTGAAGATACTTTAACGACACCCAACACCTCATCAAATATAATCAAGCTACTCTATGCATTTGTAATAGTGTGATTCTAACAGTACCATCAGTTTGGGTTGTAATTTTTCGAATCTCACATTGTCATCAATAATGATTGTAATTTTTGAATCTCACAAAAATTATCAATATCGGGTTTATTGTGTGTCAATACTATTGCTTAAGTTTTTGTTAACCAAATTGTGTTCAAAGTTTTGTTCCAATATTTCTATTCACAAAACCACATATGCATTGACGGTCAAACGAGAAAAAAAATCATATATATAAAATTTTGTTGTGTGTTTTTCTTCTACATTACTTATTCGTTGTTTAAGATATTAGCAAAATCTATTCATTGCTTTAATCTGTCCGTACCTTTAAGAGGACAGGCAGAGCAATATGATGTGTTGTGCTGATGACTTTTGTCTTATTGTGGCCAGGTTTCTTATGTAAAAGGTAAGCTGTCATGATTTACCTTCGTAAAAATCACTGATTCGGACCATTATAATTTATCTGTGTAAAAATAAATATCATGGCTTACCTGTGAAAAAGTAACATAAGTGACTTATCAAAAGGTAACTGAAGTGACTTACCTGTGTTAAAAAGGTAACCTGTGTAAAATAAATGATATGACTTACTCTGTAAAAGAAACTATTGTGACCTACCTGTTTAAAATAACTCTTTTAACTGATCTATATAAATTAAATCTGGTGATTTTTATCTGCGTAATGGTAATTGCTGTTTTACCTGTATATATTAATGTTGCTTCAGAAGGAAAGGTGCTATACTTGATGTACACCAACGAGTGTGTGTGCAAGTAGATTTATGAGCGAGTATATGTACATTTCATGTATGAAAGAGGATCATAAGTTCCTTGCATCTCTGATTACCATTTATAGATTAAAAATGTATATTTTTATAAAGGCAAGGCAGTATTGAGTTTGCCGCCAGGCGATGACGATTAGGCGTCATTGTACCCAGCTGAGGACGGAGTAGCAGGGTGAACACTGGTCGTGGGGATATTACTAGGTGCGGACGGTAGGCAGAGTTAGCTCCTGATCAGAAAGAAGGAGGGATTTTCCCCGAGATGCGAACAAGGGACAGTTTTTGTCCTAGGATTAGGATGGGTGGGTAGAATATATCGCCATGTAAGAATAATGGGTATTGTTTGTCCTAGGTGATGGCGGGTTGGCAGGGTTGTTGATAGATGAACGCAAATGGGCAGAGTGTGTTCAAGATGAGAACTGGTGACAGGGTTGTTCGCAGATATCTACACGCATCTTTATTATTTGTGTAGCTTCAAACTCGAAATATATAGTTATATTGTATTTCCTCTTTGTGTGACTAGCCTACGACTTCAGCAATATGCTTGGTCTCATGAATGTCGGGTTAGTGACAACCATAACAATACTCGTGGCTCGTTCAGTGCTCTTCCCTGTGCGTTCACAGGTTGTAAAAGGGTAAAACATAGTTCAAAAATACATTACTCATGTTATATAACTAGGTATTTTTCCAAATATCATACATCTATTTTATGATCGAATTGTCAAGATAAATATATATATATAATAGATTGACATGACGACGTAGTCGTGTTGTATATGAGAGACTGTACAGGTGTATGTTTTATAATATGATTTGTATTCCGTTATTGTAGGAGATTTAAATGTATACAAAATTCTACGTCCAATATTTATGTCATGAAAACACTAGCATGTGAAACAATAAACTTTTGCCTTCAGATTATTGTGTTTTGTTCGTTGTTGATACTGAAGCATAGTCGTTCTCTGCATGACGACCCGGATGCCAAATGTATATCAGCTCCTCAAAGATCATGATTTCACTTCGTCGCAACAGGCGTTTTTTTCCGAGCATTTCCTTAACTGTTCTATCAACACAGAATCAAACCAGCCCTGGTTAAAATGTACACTAACTGAAAAGTAAGGTAACATTTATTTAAAACTCTGCAACCTTGATCTGGTACCAATCATTATTGAAGCCTTATTTCGTTTAATATCCGACAGATATTTTTTGACAGATTATAAAGCAATAGAAATCTTCCGGAGAGATCAGGAATCTAATCATATCTGAAACGAATTCTTTATTTCTGTAACAATTTTTAATTTAGTTGATAATGTTTTTTTTTAATACAGCCAAGCATGGGAAGAGGTCAAGGATGCAGCTGCATCCTTAATTGCAAGAATGTGTAAAAAAGTCATTGAAAATCCAAATTCTTTAAAAATGTCCTTAAGTTGAATTCGCCTTAATGTATTGTAGATGAGTTATAATGTGTAGTTTATTCGTGTTCTACTTTGAACAAATAATTCTTATTTGTATCAAAAATATGTTGGGGGTTCAGATTCGGTTATGCATTTTCCTACTATAATATATATTGCAACTCATACTTCTACGTACAATTTACTGAGTAACAGCGACCAACGTATGATTGTTGCATGCCATTGTAACCTTTGAGGGTCAGATTGGAGCATGTATACTATGCGTAAACATCCAATGGACGTGAACAAGAGAATATTACGAAATCCAAATAACCGAGATATCCAAGTGGTTGCGTTAAGGGCGCAGTCGCGTCTTTCCGACGTGGAACTTTGGTATGGAAAGGCATGAACTATACTTAAACACATAGCTGTGCTGCAATAACCAAGTCAGGATGGCCGAGCAGCGTTCAGGTAGCAGTCGGGTCTTCCCGGCTTGGGTTCGAATCCCACATTTCTTTCTTCTACAAAGAAACACTTGCTACATTGGTTTCAACTACTGACACATTGTTCTAATTCATCGATTGGAATGAAAATAAATTATTTATTAAATAAAAGCTACTGCAGCTAGCGCTATGATGTGATTTCGTGTCATTTAACAGATATAATGGATACATACAGAATATGGATGCTGCGGTCTGAAAACTGAAAAGTATCTCATAAAACACGCTAAACAGTTGATTGTTTGAATAATAAGACAATACAAAAACTTAAAAAAAAAGATTTTGTTATAACTGTAACAAACAACCAGGCAATAAAAGTGAGGCAATATACGAAATGAAAAGTTTTAGTTACTGAAAATAACCAATAGCTACATAAATATTCATTATAATGTTTTTTCTTGATAACAGTTATTTTAATGACAATTTGCCGATTATTTTCTTTCACGGTGCATGAATTAAGTCACTATTATGTATTAGTTGAGTCCTAAGTTGTTGGCATATAGACCGTTGCTATTTAAGGAAATCAAGCGTCTTCATCTATAGATTCATCCTAAATAGAAGTTTGATGAAAGTACACAAACCATTTTAATTTCATGTTGTGCTATGTTTATTTCATCGTATCGAAAATAAAGGATACATTTTGATTCTATTCCCTGATATTCATGAAAACAAATGAATTATTTTGACACGAAAACCACCGACTATATTCTATAATTACTTGTAGAACTAACCTATATAGGGGATATATACGACCCTTGATAACAGTTGTAATTCTTCACGGGGCATGAATTAAGTCACTTTTATGTAATAGTTGAGTCTTTAGTTGCGTGCTCTACTGATCTGTAGTAGTTTACGTCTTAATCTTATTACAAAATGATTTATGCTAATGGGTGACTTGATCGTAAATGTCATTGTATCGACAACTCCACCTGTATTGACTTGTTTTCTTCTGACCTATTTTGATCATCTTTGTGAGGAATATGACAAACAGTAAGGAGCGGATGCAATAAGCAAGTCAGGATGGCCGAGCGGTCTAAGGCGCTGCGTTCAGGTCGCAGCCGGGTCTTGCTGGCGTGGCTTCGAATCCCACTTCTGACATTCATTTTTTTTCAACATCCAAACGGAAAGAGCAGCTAGGAGTATACAGGCCTCAACTAACATCATCAAATTATTCCCTCCGTATGCTATGCCATTTTTGCACCTTTTATCAAGCAAGTAAATAACATCTGGTGTGACATTTCAATCACAAGGATAGCACAAATTTCGTTACTTTAACTTTCATGCATTTCTTACATCTCAAACTAAATAATTGCATAGCAACTGTCATATATAACCGTAGGGACATTTTTGATAATAAAAGTTGACGATATCTGTTGAAATATTAAGAAAAGTAATTTGCATTACCAAGCGGGGAATCGAACCTCGGCCGCCGCGGTGAGAGCGCGGAATCCTTTTTTTCTTTTCTTTTGAATGTATCAAGCATTTATTGGTCCAGCCATATGGCCCCGGGGTTTGGAACCCCCGGGGTTCCTCACAATGCATATAACTGTATTTTCAATCAATAAAAACAATTCACAGATAGTACATGCGTTTGAAATATAGATTTATCACTTGACTTTGTTGTTTTAAGTTATATCAAAACAATTACACAATATAAAATCAATTAAAAGGAACATACAAGCCACATTTACTCCAAAATTTAAAACACAATTTGAACATCACCATCTCTCAACAAAATAACTTCATTGTTCTTAGTGTAATATTTGGCAAATATTGCCCTATTTTTCTCTTTGTTACAATATGTCAAAATTTATTTTACCAAACGTTTGAAGGTGAATTGAAAATATCAACATTTCCTTCTTTACACATTACAGGATTTCGGCACTTATATACACAATACCTCGCAACACTCCATGTTAAATTAATCATATAATTGTTTACTCTCTTCCACTATTCATAAAATCCCAATAAAACTAGGCGGTCAATATTGATACTATTAAAATTACCGGTATCCGCACTAGCAAACAACTTATCAAGTAAATTTCTAAAAAAACAATTGAAATTTTGTAATTCAGGGCAAACTAAAAGCATGTGCCACAGATCCTCCATTGTAACTTTACAAACAGGACAAATATCCGTATCAGATATACCAATCTTGAATAATTTCTGACGCGTAAAAATAGCATTATGCACAATTTTAAAATGTACTTCAATGACTTCGACAGGATAATTAGGTGCATTTACAATGTTAAACACTTGATCAACCCGTTAACCTGGAAACTTATTTTCCCAAAACTTGCAAAAGATATCGTCAATTTTTATTAACAAAATATACCCTATCGATTACATGACAATTACTATGCAATTATTTAGTTTGAGATGTAAGAAATGCATGAAAGTTAAAGTTACGAAATTTGTGCTATCCTTGTGATTTAAATGTCACACCAGATGGTATTTACTTGCTTGATAAAAGGTGTAAAAATGGTCATAGCATATGGAGGGAATATTTTGATGATGTCAGTTGAGGCCTGTATAGTCCTAGCTGCTCTTGCCATTTGGATG